TAAATTCTGATTTATAGTTGAATAGGTATATGCAGAACTTCAGGTAGGAGGAGCTCAGTGTAACATGCTCACTAAGTCTCCCCTTGGTAGCAGGAAGGTTCTTTGTGTGTTTATTTGCAAGACCAGAAAGCTGGTGTTCAGGGATGGAAAGCCAGACAAAATTGTAGCATCCAAAGGGGAGATAAAAACCACCAGCTGCAGAGACAGGACTTTAAATCCATGTGAGCAGTCAATAACAAAAACCACAAACCACAGGCTTGGGAATTCAACAATTCTCCCCGAGCTCAATTCACTCTCAAGACTGAATTATTCAGTAAACTTTTTTCCCGGTAGAGTTTGCAAAAGCTGTCAAGGAAGAGACTGTCAAATTGGAATTAAAGTCAAATCAGAAGAGCTGTGTTTTCCTCTCTCTTTCTCAAGTTTTAAGGAAGCTTTCTTAAGATAGATGAAAATAGCATATGACAAGCTACAGCACCCAGAGAACTCTCTCTTAACAATGTGAATGGTACGAAGACCAAGAAAAAAATGTTTATCTGCTATAAAGAGGTCATGAAAGTGAAAGAGCTCAGATTCATGTTACATGTTTCCAGTCTTCTGGGCAGTATCTTCTGCTCTGAACTTGCATCTCTTTCTCTTCTATAGGCAGTAAAGATTTGTCCGATAGCGACGTGGGGAAAAAACCAACCCAAAAAAAACCAACCAAAAAATCCCACTGATGAGCTACAGTAGACTCCTGTAGCTGTCTTGCTTTTTCTCATAACCTTTATTCAGATAACTCATTCGTTATCTACACCCCTTCAACTGACTCCATAAGATGTAGCTGAGTCCCAGTTGTATCAGGACATTGCCTGTCAAATGTATATTCCTAATCCTCTAGTACAGCTTCTAGTGACACTCGATGGTATCTAAGAGATTTGACACACTTTTTCTCTGCTTAATGCATGATAGACACTTTGCTCTTCCTTCAGGACCTGCTGTGAGAAAGCAACCTATTCAGAAAACTCCAAAATGACATTTCACCCATTCTGACATGGAAGCAGCTTTACAAGCCTCCCTCAGAGGAAGAAACAAAGCTCTGTACTGTTCTAGCATTTAGCACTGCTTTTATGCATTATGCTTTAAAAATCTGAACAGATGTCAATAATTGACATGTGATTTAAAATAAAAAAGTCCTAAGATTTTATAAGTACCATAATGAAAATACACCGCCATCTCTTCTTTCATCACAGTATTTAACAGTGATCTCAAAATCTTCAAATGATGACATATTATTGGCTGTACCCAAGAACAGCTATTTTTGTATATTCACTCTCAAAATGAGGATACCACCCTCCCTTTAGTTAACATCAACTTGTTTCCATTCGACCTCTAGAAGTCAGTGATGAGCAAAGAGTCCAAATGAGGGCATACCTATTTTCTAACTATCCTCCCATTAAAAGCAATGCTAAAATCTTATGTGAAGAACTAACTCATCCCAAGAATGAAGCTGCTAAGAAAAGCATCATCTCACAAAAACTCAGTAGTAGTTACCCACATTTCTATTTCTTATATGTTCACCTAAGCACTTTCTATTTTTAGGGAGTATAAAAACATACATCCATTAAGAACAGAAGAGGAAGACTGAGAGTGAGGCAGAAAGTCTGGTACAGCCAATAACAGAAAGATTTGATAGATGTGTCAATCTCTGAACCTGCAGCAGCATCTCCCTTCTCCAGCCTGGACTTCAAGTGACTGCCTTCAGCTCAATGGCACCCTTTAACCACAGCAATGTTTTTTCCTTTTCTCTGTCTTTTTGTCCTACTCATTAATTACACATTCACACACCTTGACTTTTGGGGGAAAAAAATAATCTTGTTTGTCATGTTTCACTAGTAACTTAGTAGCTCTATGTGTTTTCTTGATTTCCTGAAATACACTTGGCCACATTTCTCCCTTTTGTTAAAGTATATGGTGTGCTAATACCCACCTCTTTGTGGGTAAATGTAATTCAAGCAATTATAAATACAAATACTTGGTAAGTTCTGGTTGGAGCATAGCTATAATAAATATTCTGATACAAGTTACCTCACTTTCTTCTAGAAATGCATTCATTTCATGAACGCCTCATCTTTGAAGATGAATTCATTGCCAGCAATCCTTGTGCTACTGCCAGAACACTGGGGAAAAGCTTTATTTCAAGAAAAGAAAGAAGAACATCTCAATTGATAAAGACAGAGCTTTTGTAGGTCAAAGAGTTAAACTTATTCTGACTCTGTGTGTAGCAGGCTTGGGGATTTGTTTCCTGAGTACACTGTATTGTGTGAGGGCAGCTCCGAGCTAAACAGAAAAAAATGGAGTAATAGTCAGTACAAGTTGTAACTCTCAAGATAAGGTTAATAAGAGCATCCCGCTGCATCTTGCAATGCCTTTCTGGGTGCACAGTTAATTAGTACAGCATTCACTAGGGATCTCAAACGTAACACGGTCCCCCGACTTAGGAAAATCTGCAGCTGACAAAAAGAGTAAACCCATCCCAACTAGGGGTGCCTGCAAGAAGAGAAACATGCAATCAATGATAATAAAATGGCAGATATAGGTCTGGTTTTCACAAACAACCTCAGGAAGGAAATGTTGCACTTGCTTTGAGACACAGCTGATTACATTTACTGCTGCCATCTCCAGAGACATGGCCATTTGCTCACACAGCGCACTTAGAGCTCAGAGCTTTTGGGAATAGATGCCTTTATTTACGAGCAGTGATGTCCAAAGAGTTTCGTGGTCTCTCCTCCACCAGACTGAAAAATTTCCAACTCTAACCATCTGCATTACAAACATCTCAGCACCTTCAAATTGCTGCTATTTAAAAAAATGAAGCAAGATACTCTAGTTATAGGATAAGGATAAAGAAATTAACACTTCATCACCAGGCTGTCCAGAGTTCACTCTGCAGCAAGCCTGAATCCCAAGCTAGAGATGAGCTTGTGGTCCCACTGGATAAAAACCACACTCTGGTAAATGCATTAATATCACTTTGCAGTTGATATATTTGTCTATCCTGGACAGAGTACAAGCTATAGAACAGCTCAGCCATCTTGGCCAGGGCCAAACTACAAAAATATAGCCAAATAATCTGCCTAAATGAGTCACAATGCACAAATTCTACAGTAATTCAAAATCTGGTCACACATGATCACTGGACTAATTCAACTGTACTTCTCAGATATCTCTGTCAGTGGGTTTTGACAGCTCCTCTATCTTTCCTCCTCTTCATGACATATCACCAGCATTGGCCAGGACTTGATTTTGTGTTACAGATTAAAAAGTTCCTGCCCCCAGAGAGCTTACATATGTATGAATAATTCACTACCCCTCTTGAAACTGTTTTTCCCTAAAAGACATTCTGGTTTCTCTAGCTGTACCAAGTTCTTTAAATTTTACTTCTTCTTTACTGAAGTAGGAAAAGCAGCAGGACTGCTAAAGCCTGATCCTTAGCGTGACTGACAGTGCCTCTCAAGAACCGTCTTTCTCCCTGCATGATTAGGGAAACAAGGCAATCACCTTGTTTTTTCCAGCATCAAGATATGTATTTGTGCAGCATTTATTGAGACCAGTAGGAATTTTCCCTGTGCTTAAATGTGAAAACATATACTGATGTCATCAAAACCTCTGGCCTTCAAAAATATGTCAGCAACTGTAATATCTACATACTATTTTATTATCTATTGTTGATTCCTAATAACAACAAGCCAGCATGAATGAGTTGCCTGATTACTGATGGAATTATACCTGGCTTATACAACCATGTTTACAAATATCATTTTTCTATTAAAAATTAGGTGGGGGAAAACAATGCCTTTGAGACATAAGCAATGCTGCAAAAGCACTAGGAGACAAGTTACACTAGTAAACAATTTTTCTTATTAACATCCACTCCTTTCCCAAAATACATCTTATTTCAGTGATATACTTTTTTCTTTAAAATGAGAAAAACTTCTACTAGAAAATTATGCTATTTCTAGAACTGTTATCAGCAGTCTTTAGACAGTAGGCTGAACATCCACAGCAGTCTGAACTTTCTGAGCTCATCATGGCCTCTGATATTTGCTTAAACTATTATAAAAGGGAGAGAGAGGAAAAAAAATGAAGTTAAATGGAGCAGCCAGTTCTCAGCTTTTCCCCTTATGACACCCACCAGCCTCCCAGCCTACAAACCCAGAAAGCAAAGCAGCACCTTAAGAATCTCCTACTTGTCAGGATAAACATGCCTAATGGCAGACATCTCAGCCCCCACCTCCTCCGGGAAAGGCTCTCCTGCCCTCCCCTCAAGCTATGGCTGGGTCTCAGGTGCCTGAGGTTTCTCAGCCGTGCTTTTAACTCTTTTTAACCCCTCGATCGGCCAAGCCAAAATATGAATCTGCTGAACGAAGATCTCCGTTCTGTCCAGGATACATTTTTCGCTTCCCGGGGCTCCCTATCGCGAGGGGCGCGGGGGCAGAGAGGCATTTCCAGGCGATTAGCTGAGCGAGCGGGATAATTCCTGGGCAGGAGCGGGCAGCGAGACGCAAGGGCACACGGCACGGGACAAGCTGTCGGAGGAGGGCCGGGCCTGCCCAGCGATGGGGAGGGGGAGGACGGGGCGCTGTCCGTCAGGACCCGCGCCCAGCAGCGTCCCTCGCCAGCCCCTGCGCCGCCTCTGAAGTTCCCAGAGGAGCGGACGAGCTCGGGGGGTGCCGGCCGCCGATCCCGCGGGCCGGGGCGGGGGACAGACCTGCCCCCCGGGGCGGAGAGGGGCGCGGCGGCCGCTCCCGCCGCCGGCAGAGCTGCGCAGCGCGGCCCCGCCGCCGCTCCCGCCCCCGCGCTCAACTGGTGGGACCCCCCGGTCCGCCCCCGGCAGCGGCGCGGGGGGAGCGGCGGGGCGGCCCGGCCCGGCCCGGCCCGGCGGGGCGGGCGCCGCTGGCTGGGGATGCGGGCGGCGGCCCGGCGGCTGCAGGCGGGCGGCGGGCAGCGGCGCGGCGCCTGACCGCAGGGCTCCGCTCCGCTCCGCTCCCGAGGATGCTGCGGGGCGATGCCCGGCGACAGGGAGGACGAGATCTGCCAGAAAGCGCTGCAGCTGCTGGCCGAGCTGTGCTCCGTCGGGGCGGTGGAGAACGAGAACTGCCGCGATTTCATCTACTACCTGCGGGACAGAGCCCGGCCCCGCCTCAGCGACTCAGGTACGGCCGCCGCCCTCGGGGGCGCGGGCACCGGCGGCCTCCCCCGGCCCCGGCTGCGGGAGGAGGGTGAACCCCCCCCGGCATCCCTCGGCGGCCGGGCGCCGCGGGGCGAGGCCTGCCGGCGCGGCGAGGGCTACCCGGAGCGAGCGGCGGCGGAGCGGGGAAGGTGGAAGGGAGGGATGCTCCCGGGAACGCCGGGCTGGCGGGGAAATTTGCCCGGCGTGGCCGGGGGAGGACGCTGGTCCGGGCTCTGCTGCGCCCGGCGCTGGGTTGCAGCGCCCGGTGCCGGGGGAGATGCGGAGCCCGAGCCCGCAGCGCTGCCCGAGCCCGTGCTGCCCGAGCGGCGGGTGCGGCAGCGCGGGGGGCGGGCGGGCAACTTTCGGCCGCCGCCGCTCACTCACCCGGAGCGGGTCGGAGCCGCCCTGCCCGGCGCTGCCGCGGCTCTGCTGCAGTGCCCGGGGGCCCGGGGCTGCCCTTGTGCTCCCCTGGCCCTCCCGGCGCTCCGGGGTTAAGCGCAGAGGAGAAGGGTTCATAGCCCGGTGTAACTGGAGCGCGATTTAACCTAACTTCCCAGTTCTGTGCGTTACAAGCTAAGAAGACTGTTCCTCGCAATTCTGTAGGTACAAGCAGAGGTTGTGGGGCTTACAAGGTGTACACGGGGTGGTTCTGTGTGTGTATGTCAGGATTATGGTTGCCTTTTTGCGTCTTGGCATAACGCTCCTACTTAAAAAACTTTAACTTAAGGAAGCTTTCTCATAAGGAAGCTGAGCTCCAGATGCACAAAAACGTGGAAAGACTGAGGATGTGCCGTATGTCTTTGGCCATAAGGGAAAGGCAAATTGCAGTTTAAAGTAGGAGCTTATTACATTTATTTTTGCATCGAGATGGGTTTGCTTGGTGTGAAGAGATATTTAGAGAGTTAAAAAAGAAGTTGATAAACGTTTGCAGTACTGGGAAGCCGTGCTGTTAGATCAGCTGGTCATTACAGCACAGTATTCAGTTCTTTATTATTCTCTGAAACGAATCAGTTCACTTAGTGTAGGGCAGTCTAATGACACTATTCCTAAATATTTTTCTGTGATTTGGTGAGTCTGAAGTAACACTCAGTGCAACTTACTGACAAATCCTTTCATATGCCAAAAGGCCTGGATGAAACAAGTAAAACTAAGAAAAAAAAATTTGAGGGGGAAAAAAAATCTGCTACCACAACAAATGAATAAGGAATTTTCCATCATTCAGTTCTCTTGTATCCGAAGCTATTTACAGCCATTCTAGCTTTTCACTACTTGAAATATTCAAATTGAAGTGATTCATGCAATGTTTGATAAGGATTCTTTGAAAATAGGCAAACTTAATTGTTGGTTCATATAGGCATATTTAATTTGTTCATATAAGCAATAATTTTTCTGACAGACACCTGTGATTTTCAGTAATTTTCATCTACTAAAGGATCAATCACATATTTGTATATCAGGTCATGATTCCGAAAATGTCTGCTTAAATCAGTGCTCACTTTGGATACGAAACTACTTGAAATGCATATGGAGACTTTAACCTCAGCTACTTGGATAACAGCTTTTCAAATTTCTTTCAGAAGCTACCTGCTTTTTCTCCATCAGCCTCGGGCAAAAAGAGTACCTGGCATCTGTTTGGGAGCACTTTTAAAGCATGGTGTGCTCAGGAAAAGTGTATCACCTCTGCCTAAAGATGGAAAAAAACGTGTCTTTATTTCTACCTGTTTTGCTTCGACTGTTATTATACAACAGCCTTCCAGTATTGTTGCAAACCTGCTCGATTACACAGAGCAGCAGTCCCTAACCTTCGCCAGCCAATGTGCAACAACAGTGAGCAATTATGCTGCAGGCAGCATCTTCCTATTGGCCTCAATTTTAACATTTTTATTTTTTGCAGCTGCAGCCAGTCTCAGAGGGTCTAGCAGGCAACACGTTATCCGTAAGCCCTGACTTGGAAAGCCCTTCTGTAAGGTAGCAATGTCAGGAATTTATTAATTTACCTAGTCTTGTGTTTCTTTGATTAAAATACATATGTTGTCCCAGTAAACTGGCTGCCCATGTGGTTTGTTTAGCTGGTCCTTAGATGAAATGTCATGGCCTGTAAGAAGGCAGTGTACATGACTTCCAAAATGAAGCAATAGGATTCACAATCAAAGGGCAGTACACTGACCAAATCCAGCCTGCTTTGTGTAGTGAGTTTCATTGACTTAACAAGGGCAAAATGGCCTTAAAAAGCCCTGACAGCTGATGCATTCCCTTTCCAGCCTCTAGTGGTCTAAGCATAGGGATGTGAAGAAAACTCGTGCTGAAAGACAGCATCTCCTTGGCAGACCTGGGCAAAAGATGAAGCTATCCTGGTTCCAACTTGCTGCCCCCCGAGGTGTGAAGGTGATGTGCATTAGCCAAACTGAGTAAATTGCTTTTAGGCCACCCAAAAGAGCAATGTGTACAACTGAGTTGAGAAAAGTGCAGCCAGAAAACACACACACACACAGTTAGGTTTTGCACAGGAATCAAAGCATGGGGAAATGCTTACAGAAGTTCTTCTGAAATAAAGTGGCTACTCGCCTAAATCCAACAACATGGTGGATATAGATGATTTTACAGCACTTTGATTGGAGCCCTTCATGTATGTTGGCTCTGTCCCCTGTCAGTATTTAGAAAAATCAAGCTCTTACAGAGGGAGATAGTGAGCTGAGGGGTCGCTGAGCCTGATAGGAGTGTTTGTCTACAAGCTCAGCCTCCCGGCACCCCTCAGTCCCAGCAGGGAGCAGCCAGATCCCTGGAGATCCACTAGTTTCTTGCCTGACATCTGATGCAGTTGGCTTTGTGGCTTCCCGCTGTCTGAGGCTTTGGTGTGTGACTCAGACCAGGAGGGAGGAGGACAGGGACAGGAGGGGACTGGATGCCTGTGGTATGTGCCACATCTTTATTTTTCATGTAATTTGCCCTGTTGTGGGAAGCCCTGCACGCGCTTCGAGCGTGAGTTTAAAGTCTAATGAGTTCTGGGTTTAATATGCTGGTCCACTGGATATAAAGGGTGACATGGGTGAGTCAGATTTTAAAACTTTTCAGAAAACTAAAGATGCAAATTAGTCATTTAGTGAAAAATGTTCAATTAGTTCAATAAGAGGTATAAGTCAGAGCAACCTTGAAAATCCCAATAGGCATCCTTAAGCGTTTCAGTACTTTAATAAGCTGACTCGTTTTCTGTTCCATTGTAAAATGTCGATAATATTTCTGTATCACAGAAGGGTTTTATGAGGGTAAATTGCAAAGTCTGAACACCTCAAGTATGTAATACATTCATAAAGGAAAGTCACGTGGACCTCTTGGAGATGTTCAAGTGAAATCTGTGTTTGTCATATGGATGTTTGAAAACAATCACTCAAGATCACATAATATTGCCCCATGACACCAAATAAAGCAAATATTGTAGATGAGGAATGGAAGTTCCTTGAGCAGGAGAATTATATTAGTGTGTAAAAAATATCAAAAACCAAAACAACAAAAAAACCATGAAGGGAGAAAACCTTAATGGAGAGACTAACCATTAAAAGAGGAATTAAGACAGAGAATCTGCTTATGAAGGGTTAAAAAAAAGTACAGCCATTAATCATAATTAATCATAATTAATTCTAATTAATTTTGTAGCAGAAAAACTGAATAGAAATAAAAAGTAAAGTTTGTTCTCCTTTTCTGTTGTGTTGGATAGCACATCTTGAGGATGAGCCAGTAAGGTCTTAAAATATTCTTAATTATGTTCTTTAAAATTGACTAGTAGATGCTAAAACAGAATCCATGATGAATATTGTGGGTATGGTGATGGCCATTAAGCATAAAGTATGCTACAGGTCATAAGTGTGAGATCAATATTGTACAGTAACAGAAAGTCAGATTTTAGTACTTGATGGAGGTAAAGATAGTTGACAATCAAGAAATTAAAAAATGTGGGCATGGAAATGGGGTGGATATTGAAGACAAAATGTATAAGAAAGTGCAGTTATGGCCTTACAGTGGAATTTGAGAATCTTATGAATCAGTACTTTTTTTTTTTCAGTCTATACTTTCAACTTCAGGAAAGAGAAAAGCACAAAGAAACAAAAAAGCCTAACAGGTTATATGTGGCCTCCAAACCCACTGCTGGAATGTGAGAGCCACGGTTTTCTGTGGAGAGGATCATTCTGATAGAGTGGTCATTCCTTAGGAAGCTGATACTTGCAATTAAATATTATTCCAGCAAGTTTCCCTTTAATTCAGAACTGAGTTTAAAACCAAAACCTGTCTTCAGAAAGTAGTTTTAAGTTCTTAGAGGGGTATTTTTAAATTTTTATAACTCAAATTACTCACTGATTCATTCCCTGCCTCACCCCCCCAAGTATTCCAGGGACACATCAAGCTGCAGAGTTTCATCAAGATGCTAAGTACATCTAGATTTATCTAGATAAATGCACAAAGTTTGCATTGTAAAGTTGTAAAGGCATGAAAAAGATCTGAGTGGGTGAAGTAACTTTCAGTATGTTTGTTATTTTTATTTTACTCACTATGAGCTGTTGCTTTCCGTATTTTTAATTTGCTTTTCCTCCCGCGAAAGAAATGTAAAATGCAGCTGCTCCAAATTGATAGTATTCTGTGTGTCATTCCAGTGCAAGAATCTTTGCAGGACAGAGGACAAGTATGAATCATATTCACTGACATGAGGTCGAACGAGTGAAGATGTGTGAGGCCCAAATTCCTCTGGGTTTTGAGAACCAAAGTGCTGTTTCAAGAGTTTAAAAAAACACCACACCGATGTTATGTGTTTTAGACTGAAAATATGTGCTCTTTTTCTCTTTTGAAAAGTCAGAAACAAGTTTGAAGCAGGTAGAAATAATTCCTTCTTGTTGCTTCTGTTTTAAGATGCTCTGCTAGTTTAATTCCCTTTGAACAAAGAGGCTCTCAGAGATTTTCCTGTCATACTGGAAAAGTTTAGTATTGTTTTTCCTT